CACCTCGTCCCTTTGGGTCAAGGAAGGATGAACCTCTGTATGATGGCACAAGGAACTCACCACTAAAGCTTTCTGGCTTGCCGCTTGCCACAAGCTGTTTGATAGTGAAGAGGAAGGGCACACGCTCACCACCAGGAAGCTGAACTGTAACAGCAGCATAATCAATTCCATCCTTCTCCTCAAACTTAACAGTGCCATCCGGAGACACTTCAAATGGTCCCTCAATCTCATCAAGAGTGTAGGTTAAGCGTGTCATGAGCTTGGTTTTTTGGAAGTCTGGGGCTGAGTTCTTGCTGACACCCTCTGCCTTGACTGTGAATGATGTGGGCTCTAGGCAGAATTTCTTGGCAGTGTATTTGCCTGGTTTGAAGGCAAAGCTGCCAACACCTCCTTCAATGGTAGGACATTGGTTAGCAGTTCCAGTTCCCTTTACTTCCATATATGTCTTACTTTGGATTTCATCATAGGTTAAACGTTTTGGAACTCCTTCCGCATTTGCTCCCTGTGTATCCAAGTGTACAAACATTAGAAATTTTTGCATGAGAAACAAGAACAACAACTACTACACCTCAGTCCAAAAGTTGGGGTCGGCTATATGAATTCTCATTGACTATGCTTCTCCATATAAGCTCAACTCATGTCATCATCATACCAAATAAAAGTATGTCTGGAAGTTAGATTTTATATATACCAGTATGTATGACAGAATCTGCAAACTAGTTCATCTTTATAGAACTATTGATGCTTGTCCTGAAATACAGATGATAGCATGAACATCCAGAAATGAGCTAGGAAATTTTGACAAAAGATTGGATAGTCTGATCTTAGTTTTGGAGGTGGCAATGGTAAAGAAGCCTTCTGAAGTATTTTTACGTACTCTCAAAGATATCAAGGCCCTCTATTCCTGATAAAGATATTTGGTAGTTTACTAGTTATGGTTACTTCAAAGAAAGTGATTGACAGTGAATATGAGGCCGACTAGCTTGAAGAACATTTTACCTGCTTTTAGAATTATCGGTATGTCATACTGGTTAGTTAGCATTCATCTCTAGTCCAGTTATAGCCTTTCTTATTATCCTAAATTTAGATGATTGGATTGACACCAAAGGAAACCATAAACTTCATACACAATAGAGGGATATGGCAGTTCATATAATGAATGGAATTCCTCTTTCATCCTATCCTATTCACAGTACTGATCCATTCATAGCTTAAAAGTGGCTTTCTTGCTTTTGTGCCTCCTCGTGATCTAAACTAGTCAGCAGATACACCCCTGCAGCGCGGGGGATCTCACGACATTTTTCATTGGTTTGTCTTGTATTTCTAATCGTTAGTTGTTTAATATCTGGCATGTTGAATTGTATACATAATATGATGGACTTGTTTAGAAAGATCCTAGTTGAATTATATGACTCTGTATTATGCAGGCAACAGCACTGGATACATGGGAAATATAGACATGAAGCAGGCAAGCATTGAATTAGAAAAGCAACTTACCGAGACGACGAGGGCAGAGGTGGCAAGAGCAAAACCAGCAATCTTGGCAGCATCAGTACATTTCTGAGCCAATTCCTTGATTTCAGTTTGCAAAGAGCAAGTAAGCCTGCCTGAACCTTGTTCAACACCAAATGCTTTGCTCACACTTTGAGCAGACCTCAACTGCAGGTTGTTTCTAACACCAACCTTTGTCGGTTGCATAAGAGTAGCAGCTGCTTGTAGAGAGGCAGCCATAATTTTACCCCTTTTTTTGTTGATCAAATGTCTTGTGTTCCTCTCTGTTTCTGCTTTGTTAGAAAGTGGATGAGTGGCAGTAAGAAATGGTTTGTATGGACTATGGAGAGAGTAGACAAATTATTTTGGTGGCTTTGCTGTGAGTAAGATAAGAGATAGGATAAGGCCTAATTTTTCATTGGTTGTCTAAACTAATGCCTCTTATTTGGTGGCTTGCAACGTGGCAAAGTTAGTGTTTAGGATAAAGATACTCATTTTGTAATTTTGCTAGGGAATTTGTGGACTACTTCGTTTTGCATTATTTGAACCTAAAATCTTGTGAAATATTTACTCTTACATATTTGTACCAAATCATATAAGTTGATCATGCTTAATTATTTGTTGAGAATAACCTTTTTTTTTTTTTGGGTAATATTTTGATTTCAATTTTCCAAATGATATGTGTAAGGCCACAAGATTAAAGAATAATTCTATATATATGACCTAACTTTAATTTAGGATCACGAGATTCAAAAATCTTTTTTATATTCTCAATTTCGTGTCAAATCAAACCAGATCATTATTTGTGAAATGAAGGAAGTATCATTGTTGCTTTTACTTTAATTATCTTTATTGTTTTAATTTTTTGGGTATCTCCAACCCAAACTACCAAATTTTACACGAAATTTGGTATTAATATTATTTTTGGTGTGATTATCTCCAACCTAATGCACCAAATTTTACACAAAAAGAATATTTTTCTCTCTTCATTATTATAATTATTATTTTTTTATTTTATTTATATTTTCTTATTTCATAAAATAAATTCTTTCTAAAACATTCACCATATATAATTCATATTATTTACTTTTATATTCCATTATAATAATAGAGTTAACATAAATTTGATTTTTAAATAAAGTCGTATAAAGAAAACTTAATTTATAAAAAAAAAAACTAACTTTATATCTAACATTAATATTATAAAAATATTAAAAATAATTAAACACACAGGAGATTTAATTAAAACATACCATTTATATAATGTTTAAATTAAAAGTATGAAAATAATATTAAAAAAAAAATTTAAAAATGTTTTGGTGTCTATTCACACCAAATTTAGTTAAAAATTGGTGTGGATTGAAGATGGTCTTAATGTTTTGTTTTCTACAATAATTTCATGATTTATTTTTGTGTTTGTCAAACGAGTTTTCGAAAATGATTTTCTTGAGACAAGAATTTATTCAAAATAATTTTTCTACTCCACATAAAGTATGAAATAAAATTTGCATACTTCACAAGTAGGGGTGTGTAAAAATCGAACCGATCAATTAATTGAACCGAAAAAAAGTTATTGGATTGTTGGTTATTTAGTTTTTAAAAATAATTTATTGGGTTATTGATTTGGTACCGATTTTTACTATTAGTTATTGGATAAATCGATAATCTAATAAGACGGTAATAATTTATTATTGTGCCTTTTCTAATTATTGAATATTAATAACTTAATATATAATTAGACACTATAACTATGTCAAATTATTAGTACTCTACTAACTTCACAATAGACCCTTTTATTAGTTTTACTGTTTACTTATAACCTAAAAATTAAAGCCAAGTGTATACTATTTGATTTTAGTTTTAGTTTTAGTCTAATTGGACTATTTTATTTTTAGTTTGTGATAGTCACCATTTGCAAGCTTGTAAAAGTCTTAATTTATTAACATAAAAAATTTCAAATTATGTTTTGTTGGTAACACGTAATTATAGCCTTCGTATTATATTTTCTCTTATTGATGCAATTTCTCATTATCGTTTTTTGTTTCATTATATCAAAGCATTTAGAGAAGTGAGAAGATGTATAGTATTTTACAGATTTTTTTATTGGATAAATTGAAAACCAAATCGATAATAATTAAAAACCAATAAACATAAAATCGATAAAGAATATCTTATTAATTTATTATTGATATTTAAAAATAAAAAATCGATAATACATAAAACCAAATCGAACCAATGACAACTTCACAAGATACTAGAAGCATAAAGAGTAAAAATTTCTATACCAGAAGCATAAAAAGTAAAAACTTCTATATTAATGCATAATATTATGATATAATATCTCTCTTTTTTTAACCAAAAAATAGAGAAAAATTTAATGTGAATTATACTGATTGCAATATAAGATTCAAAATTAACATTTATGATATAATATCTTTTTTTAACCAAAAAATAGAGAAAAAGTAAATTGAATTATATTGATTGCAATATAAGATTTAAAACGAAATGTAATTGTATTGATCCCAATATAAAGTTTACCAAATAATAAGTATAAAATTTACCAAAGAATAATAATCAGATTAACTTGATCCAAAATTCATCTTAAAAAAAAAAAAGAGGTTTGATGCGATGATAGGAGTCATTGAACGAATTTTATTTAATTTAATTAATTTATCAATTCACTTACACAATTTTTTTTTCTTATGCCCTCTTCAATTTATCAATTATATATTATATTTTTTTAATTTTTTCTATCCTACATTTGATTTTTTTTATGTAATAATTCAAGAAATTTTAATAGCTTTAAATTATTTTATATGTGGAGTTCAAAGCATTTTGAATTATTTAGTATTAAAATTAATTATTGATTAATATTTAGTTTGACAAAAGAGTAATTAATAAGGATTAAAAAAGATAATGTCTAATTTATGATTAAAAGTGTGTCATCAATTCCATTATTCTGAAATTGAAGTAATATAAATTTCATTCATTACTGTTAAGAAAAATTACAATTTTCTAATATTCAATATTTATAAAACGCTAAAAACCTTTTCAGATTCAACTCGAAAGAATTCAAGTAAAAATTCATATTACAAAAAAACACAATTAATTAATTATATTACTAATAAGAAAAAATAAAATTATGATAATTATAATTTTATGACGTGTAAGGTTGAATAAAAAGTTTATCACAAAAATAAAATATTAACTTAAAATCTAAATGAATTTAAATTTATAAAGTAAGAATATTTTAAATACTTCTAATTTTCAAATATATAGCTAATTTGGAGATCTAAGCACAGCTACGTTTACTTTGACAGATTCTTTAGATCTCAAAGATTGGCTATTTTTTCCCTGATAAAAATAGGGAACACAGCAATTTAATTATTTTTTAAAAAATATATGTAAATTTATCAAATATTTGGAGATGGGAATCAGGAAGAAAAATATGAACCATTCAGATTCGTTTTCAAAATAAAATTCGATCAAAAATTAAAAAAAAAACGAAAAAAAAATGATTCAGATCGGAGTTCCTCTCAGACAAATGCCTCGTTTCGTCTTCATAATTTTAAAAGAATGGATATCAGACTCGTCATCTGTGTTTGTTCATCACTGAGAAACTCCCAAAACAAACCATAAATATAGCAAAAAGACGAAACCAAAGTACTAAAAGAAGAGTGAAATTTGAAAGGAAAACGCAAATAGTATCAGAATCGAACCCGAGCAGCCATAGCAAAAAAACGTAATACTAGATAAATGGATCAAGGGCAGCCATAGCAAAGTGAAAGATGAATGGATTGATGAGGAAACAGGAGTTTTTATAGGTGGTGGGGTGACTTTAGGGTTTAGGAGGGATGAAAAAATTCATATGGGCTCGGATTTAGTAGCAAAACCCACAACTTCTGGGCCTTTCTAATTCATTCAATTATGGAGAAATTACCCAATCATTTATATATTTATATCATATTTATTAGGAAACATTATAAAAATAAAATTTTCAAAATGATCAATTTTTACTTAAATTACATAATTTTAATCTGATCCCAATTCACCTAATAATATAACTCATTTTTGTTCTCTCTTCATCTTCATCCTCAAACTTGTGTTCCTTTTCAAAAACAATAAAATCATCCAACACATCCCAACAATATCAAAAATAATGTAATAAATGACTATAAACACAAGAACACAACAATGATTAAATACGGATAATCCAAGCATTATTTCTCAGTTAGATCTAAAAAAAATTGTAGGAATTACTGGAGTTTGGAGCTCCAATTCGTCGTTGCTGATTTTCTTCGGTCTATCGGAGTCACGGTGGTGGCTGGACATTGCTATCGATGTGGGTCTGAATGAGAGAGCAGAGACAGTCAGTTTTCCATATTTGACTAGTTCTTAGAATTAGAGAGAAAGACCTAGCTCTATCGATCAAAATTAAATAAAAAGGTCAGACTAAAGTTAAAAGATACAATCCATATTTCAAGTAATTAAAATGAAATTTTCAGTTGAGAATGGTTGTAACATGGATATTAATATATACTAAAAACTATACTTAAAATAAGTAACACATACCTCTTTGGAAACTTCTTCTGTCTTATTTGAAGATCTCGCATAGTTCATGAACCATCCACCAACATTGAACTTTATATCAAGCAGGTATGGAAGAAATTATTAATTGATGAATTGTGATGCATATGTTTCAACCTATGTCAGCTTTAGAACATTATTGGAATTTTTCCGATGTACTTAAAGCTACGGGAATTCACAAGTTTGAAGATGAAGATAGAATAAAATGGGTTATATTATTAGGTGGGTTGAGTCGGATTAAAATTGGATAATTTAAGTAAAATTGATTAATTTGGAGATTTTTGTCAATTGAGTGATATAAATGGTGAAATTATTAACGGCAAGGGTATAAATAACTTTGTTTCAATGCATGAATATAATCAATTAATAAATTAAAGTTGAGAGATATTTTTGACCCTTTCCCTATTTATTATTCTTTTTTTTATTTGAAATAATTATGTTTTATATCACTAATTAATAATTTTATATTATATTTTCGAATTAAATTAACTTAGACACATATTTTTTGCTATGATATATACTCAAATAAAGAGAGAAACAAGCGAGAACATGATAGAGACAAGCGAGATTTGTCTATGTGTAGCAGATACATGTGAATCACATTTTATATATATATATATATATATATATATATATATATATATATATTTGAGATACCAATACACAAGCGAACGGAAGGAAGATGAGTAAGGTTTGTATAGTGTATTTAAAAGAGTAACTAGCAAATATAAAAATCATATACGTATGGTATAACTATGATTTGTGTAGTTGTGCTCCATAGCAAGTTTTATGTTTACTATGAAGTTTTTGATTTGTATAATTCACTACAAACATCCAATTTTATGCAAATTATTCAGTTTTGTACAAATTAAAATAGATTATTTTTTTAAAAAAACAGAGAAAATACCTTTTTTAAAAAAACAAATCTAACTTTTGAAAATAAATAGTTTAAATTTGTAAAAGTTTGACCAACGATATAAATTCTGGTGATATATAGTCGAAGAATTCATTACAGGTAGTGGAACTTAAATTTTAAGTCAGCGATGACAGAGAAGTGAGTAAAATCCGGTATCGTATGAAACGTGTAAGCATTGTACTTAACTTCGGTCAAAACGGCGAAATTTGAGTGGCCCCACGTGTCCAGTTATTACAGATTTTAACACGCATATCAATCTCATTTTGAGAGAAAAAGAAAAAGCAAATACTCGACAGACTGTTGTAGAGTGCAGAATCATTCGGAATTTGTTCAATAACTTTTCAGATCTAGTAGTAGGGGGTTGAAAGAAAAATGGGTAGGATGGATTATTTGGCTATGAAGACTGATGAAGATACTAACAAATTGATTAATGAAGATCTGAATGAGCTAAAGTTAGCTGCTGAGAAGCTCTTTGACCATGCCACTAAACTTGGCGGTCTTGGATTTGGTACTTCTCTTCTCAAATGGTTTGCCTCATTTGCTGCCATGTAATGTCCCTTTTCCTCTTTTATTTTAAACGAATCTTATTTTACTTTCTCTCTATATCTATTACAATGTGGAAACTGAGAAAGGGACTTTTGACCTGGAATAGCTTGATATTGTCTCCTTTTGATTTTGATGTTTTCAATTTCAAAAATTGAAAAGTGATAACACCATTAAGTTTTATTTAGACACTCGAACTATTGATTTGAGCACCTGAACGTATTCCAATTAGATACTTTTGGTTCAAATTTTGGAAAAAAGTAAATATATATTATCTCCGTTAGTTAGCATTTGTTTCGATAAGCCCATAAGCCTCCAGAATTTTCTAGTTAAGGTTGATCTTCATAATTAAAGAAGATGAAAGTAATTTATGTGGTTAACTTAATTAGCTAATAGGTCTTGAGATGTGAAATGTTTCCAGGGTTAAACAAGACTTCTCTATAAAAGAAGAAATAGGAACAACAAAATATAATTACTACGAAACCAGCAAGATAGGAAAATGGCTTTTAAGCTATAAAGTTGATTTTTTGGTTCTGGTTTTCTCTGTGAACTCTTCCGCTCAATTTATGAGAGGCTTTGAAATGAGAAAGTGAGATACTAATATGAGATAACATTGCATTGTCATGTGAATGGCCTAAGGCCATCATGTGATGCCAATTTTTGGCAGTAAGACTTGGTCTTAGGCCATTCACATTAGCGATAATGTTATTATGTGGCTTCACATGTCATCTCATATTAGGATTAAACAAGATTTGCCTTGAGAGATATCTCCTTAGCTTTGAAGTCAATGATGAAGTTTTGTCTATTTTAAAAGCTAAGCCTTGTAATATGAGCTTGTAACCTAAGTGGGGGTAACAACGTGGTGGAATGTTGGGATAATCTTGATGGTTGGGCTTGTGGGCTATTCTCTGACCTGTCCTATCCAAGCACAGAGTTGGGCTACGCGGTCCAAATGAAAGTATGGGCTGTTTGGCTATTAGAGTAGGGTGAATTGAGTGAGACTGGTTTCACTGTGCAACGAATAGTCCTCGCTTTGTGCAGTGTTAAGGATAATGAGCTGGTGCTTTCTAATCTCAATTTTTTTTTTTTTTGAAAATATATCTATTTTCAAAGGATTTCTTGTTGTCAAAGGTTCACATCACGTGATGACCTTAGAAAGTTCACACGTAATGACAATGTAATCACATGACTTCACATGTTATCTCATATTAGTATTCTATTTTCTCATTTCAAAAGCCTCCTATATACTCTAGCAAAAGAGTTCACAGAGAAAAAAACAGAATGACTTCTACTACAAATTAACAAGATTGGAAAATGACTTTTAAGCTACTGAGTTGATTTCTTGGTTCTGCTTTTTCTCTGAGAACTCTTAAAGAAGAGATATACGAGGGTTTTGAAATGAGAGATTGGGATACTAATATGTTAGATAACATGTAAAGCTATGTGATTACATTGTCACTGCATGTGAATGGCCCAAGGCCATCACGTGATGCCAACCTTTGGCATCAACTAATCCTTTTAAAATAGATATATTATCAACAGTTTAATCACTTCCGACTCATGAGACTGAAGTTGAGAATTGCTCATCTAAAGTTGAAAAAGTTTATCCCAAAAGATCTGAAGTTGGGGACTGGGAAGCCTAACTTCATTACCCAAAATGTCTGAAATTAGCGATTGGATGGGATAATGCCTGCACCATAATAGTATGTTTTAATCCCTCCAGTTTCAATGTTTGGGAGTGGGATTGGCGTGGATTTAATCATCTTAGATGTCCCTTTTCAGTTTGTTAGTCAGTAGCTTGTAACATTTTGATCTGTTAGCCAACGTTGCTGTTGAACTCAGAAGTTTTCAGTGCTGAAACTTATTGGTGGGAATTTGGCTGGTGAGTTGCTTCATCAATGACAATAAATCTGATTCTAGGGACTATTGGAGGTTGGGGTTGTCCTATCCTTGAGAAATTTGACATTATCGTTGATCTTTAGTTATCCCCATGAGCAATTGAAATCGTCAGTTCACTGCTAATTACTCATCAAATATACCTAATGAATAGGGAAGAGAAATGCACTCAAATCTGCTGCTAGTTTTAAATTTCTACTCTGAGTGAAGGACAAGTGACATTAAGTCTACAGTAATGTGGTACACCAACTTATTCAGTTACCAATCACCCACAAGGCATGACTTGGTTGAAAAATGCATCATATTAGCAAAGCTCATGAAGTTGTAGCAAATTGGAAAGTAGAGGCTTTTAACCCGGAAATAGATTAGGCATATTCCACTGTTATTATCAGGATATGAAAATTGCTCCCGCAAAATTAATGTGTTGAATTTTCTTGGCTGAGACTTGAGTGTCCTGCATTGGCAAACCAACAACAATGCTAATCCACAGAGGAAGATTAAATCCTAGATAATAAGACATGTTGGAATGCCTTATTGACACATTTGCTGTGGAATGTTTATTAACAAGTAGGAGCGGAAAGAAGTTTTCACTCTGCCAAAAAAGTATGTCTATTGTTTTGCGGTTGATCATACATATGTTTAAATATTTGTACTTAACTCTGGCTGGAAGAAACTTGCTGTACAATATTAGTATCCATATTTCAACTCGATGGTCTTTTTGAACTTGTTACATCTTGAGCTGAGTTTCAGCAATGTGGAATATCGTCTTTTTCCTGATTTTTGGGGGTCATCCTGTTTAGCTGATCTAATTTGGTATTAATCTTGACGTTGTATCCATAATCGTTCAAATTCAATGTTTTGCTTAATCCTGTACCAATCTTCTTTCCTTTCAAGTTTCAACATAGTTAATACCAACTCATCACCTATAGATTTTCCTTAGAGTAAGGTTGTGAGTCTTCTTCTTTCCTCCTATTTTTGTTTCCTTTATGTTGTATCTTCCATTTAGATCCCAGAGAAGTAATCTACTTTGACTACACATGATGAAGTCCAAGAGAATCGTTATCTATTTAAATAAGATGAGACATCCCAAGCGTTGACAATATTTCTTGACAAACTTTTCATCCTAAATATAACCACTCTGCATCAGAAAATCTTATCTCCGGTCTCCTTCCAAATGCAATAGAGAAGTCTTAAGACTTTCTCTTGACCATCTTAGTAGGTGCTGGCGAACTCCAAATCTTAACTGCAAATCTTGAATTCACCTTTACGTGCATATGGAGTCATTTGTTTTTTTGAAGCAGTTTAACATGCCATAACATTGCAATATCAGTCCAGTTAATTTAAGTATGCCCAGAGGAAGACATTAGGAAATTCAGTGTAAAAAGCTAACCCACCCTCATACATGATATTGTGTAAAACCTCTAGAGAACATGACATGACGGGAATATTGTTTTAAGCTTTTAGATGAAACAATTGAATAAGTATATTCTGATGTTGTTGAGGGAGCTGGTGAAATATAACTCATCTTGGTGGAATGTGCTCAGTTGGCTGGTTGCAAGTAATTTTAAATGCTTTTAGTCAAAGAGGTTTGTTTAGAATCTAGAGTTTACACCTTTTTCCTGATGGATTTTTTGATAACGGTTCGAGCAAATATCATCTGCAGTTATTTGCTGATACTGGACCGGACAAACTGGAAAACAAATATGTTGACTGGACTTCTAGTCCCATATATCTTCTTCAGTTTCCCTGCAGTGTTATTCCACTTCTTCAGGTAAACTTCTCTTGTTTGCTACTATTAAGTTTTCCTTGCTTCTTGTCATCCAAGATGTTCTCTTATCACTTGTTGCTACCTGATTCAAAGAGGTTTCTTTTCTTTGTTAATCAATTGTCGTTTTTGATCACCAGAGGAGAGGTTGGGAAATGGATTGCTTTCGTTGCAGTAGTACTTAGGCTTTTCTTCCCACGACATTTTCCAGGTATGAACATTAGCTTTTAATTTATATGATGAAAATAACCTATTGGTTATCATTTTCATTTTTGTGCAATTAAGTTCTTTTGTTTGTAATCCAAGATTCTGTTACCTTTTCCGTTAACTTTTTCTTAATATTAAAAAAAAATTAAATACAACTGGGCACACTTTCCAGCAAGTAATATGCTCCCCAATTATTACCATGACATGTCATGGTTCATGGAAGAGATATCTCTAAATTTTTCAAGCTGCATAGATATTCAACTTAAAAAGTTTCTTCGAGTATACTTATTGAAACTCGGAGCTTCACATAGTGATGAAATACTGAAGATGTTGCAGCATTGCCAACTGAGAAGTGTCACTAGGATTAGCTATTGTGATTTTGCTTTCTTCGGTAGACTCTTTTATATTTATTCTGATGGTAAAACACGATTTGCGTATAGTGATAATATCTTCACTCCCTGGAGCTCTCATGATGAACTTAATGTAGTTTGCTCCAAGAAATCTATTACACCCTTAGACTTAATAATAGATGGTGGAAAGATCTATTTACACCCTTAGACTTAATCATATATGGTGGAAAGACTAGCAAGACTATGGCCCGGTGGTTGGTGGTTGGGAAGGGCAAACGTTACTCGATGGATTAGTTAATGTGTGTGCAAGCCGGCTCGTATACTGTTCTTCTAAAAAATACACACATTGACACACACATGGTTGATGCGTGTGCAAGCTGGCTCGTATACTACCTAACACCCAGCCAGAACTGATGTGGGAGAAATAACATCCTTGCACGCCACTCTGATACCATGAACTCAACCTCAAAATCTAGATTCATGACGGATGGATTGCTCAAGACTATAAAAAGAGATCAAACACCCATCCACAACCAATGTGGGAGAATCAACACTAAATCTTAATCCTAAATTTGCCTATCTACTTAAGTTACGCTACTAATGCTTGCTCTATGGTTCTTTTATATATGCTAATCCTCCTTTATAATGCTGTTGTCCATGAAATATAGACTGGTTGGAAATGCCTGGTTCATTAATCCTACTCCTAGTGGTTTCGCCCAACATCTTTGCCCACACTTTCAGAGACAGCTGGATTGGCACTGCGATATGTCTTTTGATTGGCTGCTATCTCCTCCAAGAGCACATCAGAGCCTCCGGTGGATTCAGAAATTCCTTAACACAAAGCAATGGTATATCTAACACAGTTGGTATAATTCTTCTGTTGGTATATCCAATCTGGGCTCTGGTTCTTCGAGCCGTCTGATGAACTATAGCTACAACGATCATATGTGTGTTTTCGTCCACGAATTCAATGCTCAATGCTGCAAAGCAGACCTCTGAATAAATGGATTTGGTTTTGTTTTAAACATTTCTGGTTATGTGATTATGTACTTTTGACATATGAAGTACTTATGGTTGATGGATTTGATTGTAAAGTTTTCACTCATTCACGCTTGCAATCTATGAACTTGGTAAGGTGACGATTATATATACTCACTCTGGCCCATTTTATGTGACATTTTTCGTTTTCGAGAGTTAAATAGTTTAACTTTGACCAGACATTTGTGTATGGAATCATTAAATTTTTTGAAATGAAATTTATATATTTGTAAATCACGTAAAGAGTATTATAAGTCACGGTAATTGATAATTCAAAATGTTAAAAGGATTTATGAAAAATTTACCGTTAAAGATAAACTTGTTTGAATTTTGAAATGCGAAAAATAACACACAAAATGGGACGGTCGGAGTATTTTTGTATGGCTAATCAAACATTACTTTAGCCATGTTGATGTAAAGTTTTGTGTTTGGCTTGAGTTTGTCTAAATTTCAAATTAATATAAATGAGTTAAATGTAATATGAATTATAAATTTTATTTTTATATAAAATAAGTTATTAGTAGATATAAATGTGAAGTTATTTTTATAAAATATAAATTTGTAGGACAATTTTGTATTTTTAAAGTCTCAAATCATAATTAGGAATTCTGTTCAAACGCCTACTTAGTACTAAATAAGTTAACACTGCATCCAAGTGAAATAATTATTTTGGGATAATTTTTCCCAATAGTTATAATGACAAAATTACCTATCAAAATCTTGGTATACCTCACTTTTTAGTTTTCACATGAACACTTAGAGAGTATTTTTTATATATAAATAACTAGTTCTTAAAAATTAGACAACACATTATTTTTAATGTAGCAAATCAAATATTCATTAAAAAATTAATTAATTTCAATATAATTAATCACATCGTTATTTGTTTTCAAACCAAATTAATTAATTAATTCCAAAATTTTAACATAATTAATCACATTATTACTTGTTTTCGAACCAAACTAAATCAGCCCTAGTGTATACTAAATCACATTTGGGCTAAAATTGGGGTAAGCCAAAAATTATTTCACAAGTACACTATCCTTTACTTGTGCTCCAAAACCCTAGCCCTAAAACCCTCTGCCAAAGTGAGACACTTTGCTCGAGCGATATGTCGGGAAGAGGAGAAGATAGTGATTCCGATGCGCCGGAAGAACTAACTTCCGTACAGGTTTGTTTAACTCTGAAATCTCTTATCAAAATTACTGTCTTTTGCGATAGCAGATGTAGTCGAAGAAGTTGAGCTAATTGGTCTTCGTTGCAGGGAATTCAAAACAATGAGGAGATTAGAAAAGTTGAAAAAGAACACAAGGCTAGGTATGCTCTCTTCATAATTTGATTTGATTTTTGCATACAATTTTGTTTTTATTGTTTTGTTTTGAGAGAAGTAATTGGAAGTTAAAAATTCAGCTCTTTTAAGGTTTCTGTAATGTTAGTTTAGCACTATGTTATTTATTAGTCATTAATACTTGAACTTTGTTTAGTATCCTTCTTTGTAGAGGGTGCAACTGAGCTGTCGACCCTCTGACTTAAAATCTTGTATCTTTGAGAGAGATTAGTACTGCTTTTTTGCTACGAGAATGCCTTTTTTTTATAACCATGGGCCATCTTTTTGCACACCTCCGCTTATTCTAAGAATACCTGTCACCTCCCACCAGCAAGCAGCATGTACTGGATCACTTTGTCCACCAGGGCTAGGATAGATAGGAAGAATCACTAGTGTATTTTGTCTCCGCTGAGAATTGAACCTGAGGACTCATGATTCTCAACCACTTCATTGACCACTAGACCACACCCAAGGGCTTCTGGGAGTTCACTTTTTTCTGCCAATTTTGAAATTCAACATGACATTTCATTTTTTCATACCAAGGTTAATGTGTTCGTTGGATTCTGGCATAATTGCTTAATTTATCTGGTGATCAGAATTGAATTAGTTTGATTGTTAAGTAAGCTATTTACTTTATAGCTCTTAAGGTTTGAATTGTAGAAAGTTACATTTCTGTACAAAATCTTTTTTATTTTAAAGTAAAGCTCCACCGAGATTTGAACTCCTGTTCAAAAGCATCGTGACGGGAGATAAAGGAGAAAGTTAAGAGTTTTTCGTAAATTGAGAAGTAGACAAGTATTATATCACTGTGTTGTCTTAGGCTTGGTATTCAGGTACATGTGTTTTAGTCTAGAAATATATTGTCCTTACAAACTGGTTTGCGCAGTTGGTTTGGAGGATTAAGGATACATGTTAGAGCCTAATCAGTATTAGGTTCAAGGAAATATGAAAGTCCTATTTTCCATGCAGATCCTCTTTAGTTTTTCTCAGAGCCTAATCTCGATGGTAACTTTGATTTGTTCATGGTCCTTTGATCCTGTTATTTATAACATTAAAGATGATCCATTATTGAAGTCCCAAACACTAATGTAAGCTACCTGTAAACTTTTATTCATTTGGGATATTCGTGGAAAATTCGTCATGTTTGATTTGGTGGTTTTTGCGCGGGGATTATAACCTTTAATTGCAAAACATGAGCAACTTATGGTCGTTCCATTATAAGTCATGAAATGACTGCTCTGTTGTAGAGTTGTTCGGGAAAGGAAGGAACGTCGTAGACAATGGGCTCAAAAGTTAACTCCACGACCTAAACAAAATGATGAAAGCATTGAAGACACAAAAGAACCTGAAGATGCCCAAGAGTCAAAGGACAATAGAGGGATGCTGCCTGATGAGATTGTAAAAATTCTTGCAGCTCGTGAAAAGTAAGTTATTTGTTGCATTTCTTGGTTTATTGGTAGTTCCGGTCTTCTCATACTCTTCCCAGTTCTTGAAAAACGGTACTCAATTGTATGCAGGAAAGTTTTCTCGTCAGACTCGGAAGAAGAACATGAGAAGCAGCCTACATCTAAAAACAAAAGATCCAAGAGCTCTGGGTGAGCATCGTGCTCTGTTCTTGTTTAATTAATATAATATTGATAACTCGCTTGTATTTACTCACTGTATGTTTGCCACAGGTCTGGACCAGTTATTTTGAAGGATCTACCACCTCCTCCGTGCTTAGAGAGCTCACTGGCATTCTTGAAGAAACGTAAGATGCAGGTGTCAAGATCATCAGCTGTTCTGAACAATTCCAGTCAAGCATTACGCCTTCTATCTACATCTGGCTTGCTACGTACGAAATGATAGGTGATGATTTTGAAGATTTTAGCCCGAGTGATGTCAATGCTGTATTGCTTGCTGTAATGAGAATATGCTGGTAGAGGTGTTAAATGGCGAGCTGGTTTTGGACACTGATGGGTAAACCAAAAAAACAAAACAAAACATTGTAACAACTTTTTGATGGTATATTGCAATTTTATTGATACTTGTGGGTAGGAACTGCTGAACTGTTTACACTGCAACAGTCTCATCTCAGTCAAGTGTTGAATCATTAAGTGGCTGCACAAGATTATGAATTGCTTCTAAATCTGTTATACAAATTTATTGAGGTTTGAGAAATGACAACCCAGTTTTTTAAACTTGCGATATTCTCGGTTGTAGCGTGGTGCTAGGTAAAAATGACTTCCAAAATCTAAGTAGCTAAGTTGGTTGCCTCTATGGATTTGAAGTACCATTTTGTTAGTAAGAAGCTAAGTTGGTTGCCTCTACGGATTTGAACTACCATTTTGTTAGTGAGGGTTCAATTTTTCACCTTGTAATCTCATTCCTCATTTCCTCTTCCCCTCTTTAATATTTGATCCAAGTTCCAATTCCCATACATTGGAGTATCCAGAGAGCTGAGAAAAGAGTTCCAAGTTATATTTCTACTAAATTTTGATCACTGCTAATTCAATGTAATATTAAAGTTGAATAGAGGTGTTGAATTCCAATCTTATGCTAGACAATGTAAAGTTCTCCACCAGCTTGCCATGAAAAAAGAATCTGACTAGCTCATATGGAGCATATTCATAAATAAAATGTTTATCAAGCTTTTAGATGAGATGATTACAAAATCTTTCGGACAAAATGGATGAATGAGGAAACAATAGTCAGTTGGATAACAGTTTTAACCTCAATCGGTTAATCTACAAGACAGATAAAGCTACTCAAAATTTGTACAACACTTGCTGCTCTCTTTGTGGAGCCAGTACTCACGGATATGTATAAGGCATCTCTTTTTGATACCCAAAATTTTGATTATATACAAATACAAGGATATAAAGACAAAATCTCCTAGTCTTGGTTTTCTTTGACCCTTTATTCACTTTCATCTTTGCGAATCAACCATAACTGGAAGAAAGTAGATATATGCTCAGTCAGCTATGAAACTATAGCGGGCTTGCTCCTGCGTGCTCAACAGAATATTCTTACATGCCCACCCTAAAGACAACATTTGCTCATACAAGAAACTCAAGTTTTGTTCTGTTAACCTCTTGCCATCTTCAACCAGGTTAAACCATTGCTTGAGAACTGCACTAGAACTACCACAAGCTTCTATACCCTTGCGGACATAACTTGCCTGTCAACCACCAGAATAGCTTATTATAAAGAATACTAACCATTATAAAGAGCTCAGCAAGAAACAAGCATTACTAGATAAGTTATTTGAAGTAAAACTATTGGTTTACCCGTATCCCTTAGTTCATTTGCAAAGGAAAATCATTAGTTCCAAATTACTACTTGATAAAGCCATTACTATGAGAAGGGATGGATACAACATCTTACATGCAATATGCCCCTGATCACATCTGTAGTTTCTGCCCCTTCCCGCAGAGAAAGTAGGACACCATACTGTAATAGCAAAACAAGAGAACTACTTAAGAAATACATTTAGAAGAGTAACAGCTTGCCTGTCCCTGATTAAAACTCTCTTTTACTTTTTGGCTATACATACCTCCTGGTTCCTTTTCAGTTCACTAGTCAAACTCTCTGGGCTCAAGAAATATAAGTCTTCACTATTCAAAGATTGCATCGTCATCACAGATAGCTTTGCTGTGCAACGTCTAGGATTTAAGCAACCAATTCTGATTGACCATGGCTCTCTGCCTGATTAAAGCTGATTAAGAATGTTCCTTTACTAAAAATGTAGCGATAAACCAAGCAATAAGGCCTTGTTACGGCAAAATTTAAGTTAAAAATTACCTCTGCTCCAAGATAAGCCAATACCCTCCTGTTTACTCACCTCTTCAGGAGATGGGACAAATCCTTGTTGAATCCATGTGCTTATAATGATGTTAAGCCTATCCTGAAATTAATATAAAATGAGTGATATCCGAATCAACACGTAAAGATGATTAATGTTCACTCAATAAAGACTGTTAAATAGATCATGTCATAACTCATATCACATATTTCTTCTCCTTGAAGAAAATATAACCTAAGTTTAGTAGCCAAAAAAAGGAAGTATAATTCAACTTGAACACTAATGCTTTCAGCACAGAGAACGAGGGCCAACCTTAGTTAATGTCTGCAGATGCACATGCTTTAGTCCTTGATAAATACCAAAAAGGTCAAGCACAGAGAAGACAGGGTACATCACAAATGGTAGACCAGCCTGCAATCTTTTATATCATTCAGAAGTCAGAAATCTACATTACAGGGATAACCAGAAGCAGCACAAAAATGTGTCAACCAATTCTTGCTTTTAGGATCTTATTCCATCTTATTGTATAAGGAAATGGTGGAAGATACAAATCACATTTTCACTTCTCATATTACAGTGTGAAAAGGAAATAGTAAGACCCATGTTGTGTAGATATAAACTGTTCCACTTCAAGCACAAAAAGATAGACCAAATGGATAGGTTCAGAGAGGCAAATGCAAAGAATCTCTATATAATTTCAAAACATAAATAAAGCTGACAGTGATACTTCAGAAATTCAAGTTGGAAAACAAACAAACCTTGGATTATTAGCAGACAGTATGTTCAGGGTTGCAGCAAGTGTAAGACCAAGATTATCAAAGCAGACTGTTTGAATCTAAAAACACAAACCAACAGTCAGATTGGAAGAGTGAAACTAATTAGAATCGAGCATGACATGATGAAATATTGTAGAGAACCTGTCCTTTTGCAGAAACCTCGCCTAGGTTATCAGCAATTGCAAAGCTTCTATGAACAGCAGTCTGTGAACATGTCAACAATAAATTCTCAAACAGAAATTCTATCTCAAATTTATCAATGACTGATAAATCCAGAAGACACCTGTACTTATTCATATAGCTAAAAATTTCACATGCGGTTTGGCTATTTAAACGAACTACAATTACTGAAAATAGCCATTTTCCAAATGAACTGACAAAAACATGCAGTTACTCCCTGATGATTTCATATTTGACTTGCATGTTAGAGGAAAAATTCAAGGTATAATTGCATCAATTCTCTTCCAGCTGTTACAGATATGCTAAAAACACTTAAACCCTGAAGACATTGTTTCTCTCAGATCTCTAGGACATGTGAAAGTGAATTGGTCATTAGCGGAAGCAATTAGAAGGCTAGAGTACTCAACTTCAACTAATTTCACTTTCAGAAGGCAATTCAACCAAGTGACAAAATTAAGTGTGTCAGCTTATTATGCCATCGTTAACCTGGGACCTCATAGTAGAAATTCAAAGCCTAATAAGTGCATATATTTATTAGCCTACTATTTTGAATTTGCCAAAGGCACTTCAGATCTTAACAGCCCTCTCTACATAACAAAATTGTGAAGAAATCAATTTATATGCCAAATTGCAGTGGAATTCTTAGAAACTATAAAGGGAGATAAAACAATGGTAAACAGCTAAATGGCAAGATAAGGGAAAAAGTATCATTTGCAGCCAAAATAAGTAGCTCACATCTAACAAGTATCATAACAAAGAGCTAAAGCTGGAGAACTTGAGATCAGATCCCAAAAGTGTTACACATGCATATAAATATAACATCATATGTTTTGTAGCTGAGACTTACACTGGTTGCTAGGTAACATGCAAGGCTTATTTGCTTGGCAATGTTGGCAATTGATGCAAGCATCAAAAAGTATTGTGGGAATACAGGAGTCAACAATTCAACTCCAATGCTTAAACTGAAGAGAACTGATGTACAGAACCTTACTCTCTGCAGCCAACCCCATAAAACAAAGTAAGAAACAAACAGATGAAACTTTTACATAGTCTCTTGAGGTAATCTTGCTTTAAAAATGGCAATCTTTCTGGCATACAAGTCAACATTCTTATAGAAGATATATAAGCATCATTTTGCAAAAGATGAAACTGAATTTTTATCATAAAAAATCAGTAAAATAAGCTTTATAAGATGAGTTGCACAAACTATCCCCTGTTGTTTTATGTTAGAAAGGTATACCTTAAGATTGGTATCAAAAGAAGATGCTAGGCTAGCAGTGTAGATGCACCTGCACAACCGTCCAAGACCATCCTTCAGGACCCAATTTAGTGCAGCAGCCAATGGAAGTGAACGGGAGTTCCCAATTCCAATTGCCCGCAACATAGCCTGTGTCGTCATTCACAAAACACAACCGATTACGCAAGCCCAAATTGTCAATGAAGGCATTTGAGTGATCTGCACCTTAGATGCTAACTCACATTGTACAGGCACACAAATATCAAGCAAACTACTGGTACCTTCATATCTTCACAAAGATCATAATGAGTAATTCCATAGGTGAACTACAAAATGGTTAATTCTCCATATAAAAATCATAATGACTAACTACACCAGTGACTCTAAACAAACATCATGAGCCCTGACGGAAGAATCCAAACTCAACAATGAAGTCTAAAATCTGAACTGTGCACCATATATTAATTAACAAGTTTTACAAGTTCAATAGTTGAGATATGAATATGCAAAATAAAAATCTTAATTTACTACCATTCACCAACAATTTTAGAAGATCGAATATGAAGATTCAACATCAAAATGCCAACTCTAATACCTAGCATACAAGTAATTTACAAGTTTGGTAGCTGAAACAAAGATGGAACTTTCACCGTATACAACAATTCACAAGTTCAAAACCCAGAATATGAATATTGAATACCAAAGATTAACTAGTTAAATAGCTGAGATATTAAAATTCAACATCAAAATCTAAACTTTGTTGTATAACACCAAAAAAATAAGTGTACCTGGGTCGCCAGAACTTGGAGAGCAGAACTGGAAACACGATGAACAAACTTCCACTTCACGTATTCAAGGTAATTACGACTAACTTCCCTCGGAAGAAAGAAATTTCTTATTGCCGAAACACAAATTCTGACCAACTTATGAACTGTATCTTCAAAATTAGAGTCGAAATCGGATATCGAAAAAGCATTCCCGTCAACAGATACCAACTTCAAGTCTTTCCCATCCCAAATATACCTAGAATGACTATCTGATTTGCGAACCGAAACTGGAAGATAAAAAGGCAGAGTAGTTTCTTCTTGTTGCTTGTTACACTTTTCTTCCCCAAAATTTAATGAGGTCTTCAGAGAAGTAGATACACCTGGGGAAATAATAGAGGTTTTGAGCTTGTGTTTGAGGATTTTGGGTGTGGGGATTTGGGGTTTGTCTGGGTTCCATGAGAAACAACAACGGGTGTGGGTTGATGGGTACAAATTGGATTGCATGAAATTTTGCTTTTAGAGATTTCTGATTCTCTTGACTTGTTCTGTGGAAGATGAAGAGAAAGTTGAAGACGGAATACGGCAACGGCAACGGCAACGGCGGCGGCGGCAATTTACTTTTCCGCCGGGAAATAACAGGGTTCACTAATCACTACTACTACGTAGATATTTCTATTCCCGATAAAAGAGACTTTCTTAAAACTAGAGGGAAAATATTTTTGTGTCCAAAACCTAAACTTCACCGTTTGATAAAAGTTTATGACTTTTGAAGATAAAATTTTCAAAATATTCTCATGACAAATATTCGTTTTAATGAGCTTAAGTTTATATTTTTATGTTATCAATATCTCACAAATTATATTTTATGCTCATAAATAATTTATATACAGTTGGATA